ACACACCACATATACACACACCACACGTATACTACACACACCCCACATCTATACACACACCCCACACATATACACACATACACACCACATATACACACACCACACATGTATACTACATACACCCCACACCTATACACACACCCCACACATATACACACACACATACACACCACATATACACACCCCACACATATATACTACACACACCCCACACATACACACACCACACCACACATATACACACCACACATATACACTATACACACACCACACATATACACACATGTACACATCCCACATACACACTACACAGACATACATATACCACATGCAAACACACACCACACATATACACACATACTACACACACACCACACATACACATCCCACATACTACACACACCCCATACACACTACACATATACACACATACAAACACATTACACATATACAGACATACATATACCACATGCAAATACACACACCACACACACATATATATACACTATACATATACACACATACAAACACCCTACATATACATATACATACTCTCCACACACACACACACACACACGACACCTGCATATCTGGACATGCCACATACATATATACACACACATCTGTCATACAAACACCCTATACACACATACACCCCCATGTATACACATGTACATATATGTTCACCCTACACATACACCCCCCCCACATATACACCAACCACACACACCACATACATTCACATGCCCCCACATATACACCATACACATACACACATCCCCTCATACACACCCCCATATACCACACACACACGCCCCCACATACACACCACACAGACATGCCACACATACATACCACATACATATACATACACCCACATATATACCACACACACACGCCCCCACATACCACACACGCCACCACGTATATGCCACACATACACACCCATCCACATATACACCACACACATACACATGCCCCCATGTATACATCACACACATACACACACCTCACATATACAGCACATACATACACACACCTCCACATACACGCCCCCCACATACAGACGCCCCCCACATACCACACCCCCACCCCCACCCCACCCCCACCCGGAGCAGTCAAAGCACTGCCCCAAGGAAATAACAGTGAGAAGGAGGGAGAGTCTTAACCAGGGGCTCCGAGCGGAGGGCGGTGTCGGTGGCCTGGGAGCTCACCAGCCCCACGTCCCTGCTCACCCTCAGCCCTCTGATCCAGCTGTGCCACGCCGGGCACTCCTGACCTGTCTCTCCTGTCTGCCCGGTGGGCAGCTCACGAGGAAGGGGTGTGGTCTCTCTTGGTGGGGTGGGATGGGGCGAGGCAGGAGGGGGCTTTCTTTGTACAACCCCCACATGGGCCCTGGATAGCAGGGTCCCTCCTTGGTTGAAGCCTGGCCTCTGCTCCCATGACTGGGCATCCACTCAGTGTCAGGGTGCAGCCCCTACCCTATTAATGTTCCAGGGTGTCTCAGGCAAATGCAGTGCGGTGCAGTGAATTACTTAATATGGCCCTTCTAGCCATAGTCTTTGTCACTGCCACCAAATTACGGGGTGGGACTATGCAAACAAGGTGCTTGTGGCCCACCAAGGGGATTGGACAGCTTGCTGCTAATGCAAAGAAGGTGCATGGAACCCTGTGGGGGTGGGACCATGTAAATAAGGTCAGTTTGCCACCCTGCTAGGCTTAAAGAGAGCTGATCCCAGATCAGCGGCGACCTAACTACCACCAAGCAGAAGAGACGGGAGTGGAGCGCATGCTTTGGACCTGGGATCCCTGCATTAAGAACCTCCTAGACCCAGGAGACAGACAGAGAGAGCTGTTAACACCAGAGACGCACGAGACAGTGAGAAGCAGCGGCAACGGGACCAGTAGACCAGCAGGAGATGACACGGTGGGCTTCCCAGCCCATGGAGCGAGAGAGTTGAGCGCCTTTGGGTCAAGGCTTACTGGTGGATTGGGGTACCCCCGGGCACTTATTGGCAGAGCTAGAGAGATTTGTAACACTTGCCTGAGCAGGGCAGAGGCTGGGCTGAGGGGCCGAGAGCAAGAGAGAGAGCTGCCTATGGGCACGGCTGAAAAGCAGCTGTCCTGACTGAACAGCTGTATCCTGAATCATTTCAGATCCTGAACTGTAACCTGTTACTTGCCTAATAAACCCCATAACTGTGAGTATGGTCTGTGAGTTCTGTGTGACCACTGCAATGAATTATCGAACCCAGCAGAGGAGCAGAGAGTGGGAGGGACGGCTGGTGTCAGAACTGGTAAAAAGGTTGGAGAGAGGAGGTATGTCTGACCTCCACCTCATAGGACAAACTATCCTTCAAGCCTTCACGGCGAGGGCAGGAGTCTGCTTTGTGAGGAGGATGGTGGGCTCTCCCCTGGATCAGGCCAGAAAGGGGGGCTGGTGTTCCAGCCCCTTCCCACCCACACCCCGCTGGCACCAGGTGCCCTTACCTGCACCTTCATCTCCCGGTCTGTGTCCCAGATCCGGATGATCCGCACGTCCCCTGAGCTCATAAGCAGCCCGGTCTCCTGCTCCCAGTCCACCACCATCCCTGCTCCTGCAGACAGACAGACAGACACCGCATCAACCAGGGCCTTGAGCAACGGCTCCGTGCCGGGTGCCTGCACCCACCAGGTGGGTACCACCTCCAATATAAGTGCGGGTTGGGTTCCCTGTGCGCACTCTGACGGCTGGGCTGGGCTGACAATTCCGAGACTGAATCCCGAGCTGTTCTCAGATCCCGGCTACACCCAACGCCCCCTTCAGGACTCGTGGACACGTGGTGGGCTCAGGTGTTCACCTTTTTTTTTAAATGGTTGTAATATAGACATATAACACTCGAAAAAAAACCCTGTTGCTGTTGAGTCCGTTCTGACTCATAGGGACTCTATAGGACAGAGTAGAACTGCCCCATAGCGTTTCCAAGGAGCAGCTGGTGGATCTGAACTCCTGACCTTCTGGTTAGCAGCCGAGCTCTTAACCACTGGGCAGCATTTGCCAATTCAGCATTTTTCAGGTGTACGTTTAGTGGTCAACTACATTAATCATGTGCAAACATTATTCAGAATCGTCACCAAATTTCCCATCACCAAAAACAGAACCTCGTTGCTTCCCAGACAACATTCCCCCTTCCCCTCCTCCGTCACCGTTAATACCTGGCTCTCTACACACCCACCTATTCTGTTATTTCACACAGGTGTAAATATACGTTTGAACTTTCAGGCCTGGCAACTCCAGAGCGGTGTCAAAGGCAAGAAAATGAGGGTCCCTCTTGGTCCCTCTCGGCCACGTCAGAGCTCAAGGGCCCAACTCTCCTGGCATGGACAGGGGACTCTGTGATCATCACCCCCCAGAACACGGGAGTGCGCGTGTGATCAGGACTCACAGGGGACCTCTCCAGTAGCATCCCTCCTGACGACCAGGCCAACACCCGCCTCCGCCTCAGTGGGTCCTCAGTTGGTCGAGTTGAGCTGGGAAGGGGGTGCCTCAGGACAATTCCCTAACTGCAGGAGTGAAGTCTCGCCCCAGGGTTTCCTAAGGCAATGAGGCCCCTTCTCAGGAAGCCAGTTTCACAGACCAACTCACAAATTGTGGGGTGAAGGCGGTGGCCTGCTTTACCCTTCCCTCTCTCTGCCTCAAGTTCTCCTTGGCTCCTGCCGCCCCCCTCTGGCGCTCTGAGGGTCTGGAGGGGGTCTGCCTGACCCCTTGGCGTGGACAGGAGCATGGAGGCGGCTGTGGCAGGCTGCACAGCCCCCAGCCCTCCATCTGTCCGTGTTCTAGACACCGTGGGAGGAGGCTCCAGGGTTCATGGCGAGTTTGTAAAAGACGATAAAGCAAGTGACATCTCCCTGACAGGAGGAGAAGAGGAACACGAGAGACGGTTGTGACTCTGAGAGAACTCAAAGGCAGAGCCTCACAACCTTGAAGGAGCTGGGACCCTCTCTGACCTCCCCAGGGGCACCCCCTGTCCTCCAGCCCCGGGGGGAGGGTGAATGCAGGGCGAGAACCCCCTGATCTCTCCTCCCTGGTCTCCCCCTGGCCTCTCCTGTCGGCGCCCCCACTCCGTTCACTGGGCAGAGGGGTGCCCCATCCTGCCTTGCCTGCGCCGGTCCTTGTATTCCTAAAGGTGACATGTTTGCTGTCTGTCCCCATCCCCCAACGAGAGCTGACGGGTGGGGCACTGGTCTGTGTGGGGACTCATCCACACCTGAAGGTCAAGCTTGCTGCCCTCGGCGCTGCTCCCAGGACACTGTGTGGGAGACTCCTGTCCCCGCCCAGCTTTATCCTGGACACAGGTCCCAGACACTTGCCCCATATGTGTCCTGGCAAAATGGCCACTTCCTCCTCAAAATAAAGACAACTAGGTGTTCTCCCAGATCACCAGCTCAGGAAACCAGCTGCTTGGTGGTGAGGACCTGCAGGCAGCCCTGGGAGGCCGGGTGGCGACAGCAAGGGCCAGTGGCCACCACATCACGGAGGGAGCTTGGAGGGGACCCCTGGCCCCAGTGATCACTGCCCTGCCAATGGCTCGACCACAGCCCAGGAGGGACTCTGAGCAAGAACTACCGGCTGAGCAGCGCCCAGACCCGATCCCCAGGCCCCGCGCTAACCAGTGTTGGCTGCCTCAGGCGGGGTCCTTGCCTGGGCTCTGATCACGCCTGGTTGATGCGCATTTATGACTGACCAGCTGGTATCAGGCTCACACACTGGGGGGCCTGCTCCTCCATTACAGGGCTGCGAGCGGGCGGTGACGTCTGCTCCTGGGCAAGGGCTGGGGTCCTCAAGGAGGGGTCGGGGCCTGACTGTGGGTTTGCGGGATGAGGTAAAGGCAGACTGTCCCATGACATTAACGCCCAGCTTCCAAGCGCCCAGTCGATGCCTGCGAACAGAAGGACCTCGGCTTTTCCTGCCGTCTCTTGAGAGGCTCCCGACGACGACTCCTCCTGAGACAAGCCCTTCTTGTGATGACCACGGGCTTCTCTCGTTGACACGGAAGCTGTTTCTGCTTTCGCTTGGCTCTTCCTCTCTGGAGATTAGGGGGTTAATAATCTCCATACTTTTTTTATAGAGATGAAGGTCAAGTCAAACCTGAGTTTTCCCTTTTCTAACTACTTTTCCTTCATTGGAACTTTGTAACGTAAGAACTCTTCATAAAACACTATAATGTGAGTTGACAAGGCCAATGGAGCTTCTTGTTTCCAACTTCCTAGGACACTTCCACGTAATTCTGATGACATGGTACACGGTAGCTTGCCCACCAGAGCTGCCTGCCTTCTTGCCTGAAGCCATTTGTATCTCGATGCCAGCAATGAGCGGCTGAAAGATGGACCAGGGTAAGGAAACGCTCCTAGAAGGCTGATGGAGCCTTGAAACTTGGGATTCTGCAAATTAAGGATCAGGAGTCTACTTCCTGCCTGGGTTGGTGAGGGTCCATCTCCTTACAATGCTCCTACATAGCAAGACTAAGAGGAGAAGGCTTCATTCTGGCCTTACATACTTTGTTTGTTTGGCCCAGTTTTAATGTTGAGTACCCAAGGGAAGAGGACTTGAAGCACTAACTGATGAAGATCAAAGACCACAGCCTTCAGTATGGATTACACCTCAACATAAAGAAAACAAAGATCCTCACAGCTGGACCAACAGGCAACATCATGATAAACGGATAATCCTTGAAGTTGTTAAGGATTTCATTTTACTTGGATCCACAATCAATGCCCATGGAAGCAGCAGTCAAGAAATCAAACGACGCATTGCATTGGGCAAATCTGTTGCAAAAGACCTCTTTAAAGTGTTAAAAAGCAAAGACGTCACTTTAAGGACTAAGGTGTGCCTGACCCAAGCCACGATATTTTCAATCATCTCGTATGCATGTGAAAGCTGGACAATGAATAAGGAAGACTGAAGAACTGATGCCTTTAAATTGTGGTGATGGCGAAGAATATTGAATATCCCATGGATGGTCAGAAGAACAAACAAATCTGTCTTGGAAAAAGTACAGCCAGAATGTTCCTTGGAAGCAAGGATGGCGAGACTTCGTCTCATGCACTTTGAACATGTTATCAGGAGGGACCAGTCCCTGGAGGACGTCATACTTGGTAAAGTAGAGGGTCAGTGAAAAAGAGGAAGACCTTCAGTGAGATGGATTGACACAGTGGCTGCAACAATGGGCTCAAGCACAGCAACGATTGTGAGGATGGCGCAGGACCGGGCAGTGTTTCGTCCTGTTGTACAGAGGGTCGCTATGAATCAGAACTGACCGGACGGCCCCTAACAGCAACACCCAACGGTATGAACGAGATGGGTGTCTTAGCAACGATCACATCAAACACGTGGGTTTTTCAGTGGAAACAGGCTTCAGGGGACGTTGCCTCACACTCTGAAGACGGGTTCTGTTTGGAAAGTCTAGGTGGAAACACAACGTCTCTGTTTTGATGATGGCCTTGTTCCAGGACCAAAGCAGACATCTCCACGCCTGGACTGGTGGGGAGGTGAGCGGGGCAGAGACGAACCGGACAGGATTCCCAGATGCAGCAGACACCCAGGAGTGAAACAAGGTGAAGGATGCCAAGAGGAGGGGAAGCGGAGCTGAGCCGGCTCATCCGCCCTCGGAAACGTGGAGCCCAGGGTGCCCACGAGACCTCAGGTTCAGACCCGACAGCAGGGAGTCTTTCTAGATAGATCTTTCTTTAAGATGTTTTCTCGGTGCCTCACAAGCTACTACCTCACCCCATGAAGTCTGTGTGAGCAAAGCCCGATGTTTCAGTGTACCGGGGGGGCAGCCTGGAGAAGGACCACGGAGAGGGGGGTGGGCACCCAGGAAAGGCCTGGCCCTGGCCCCCCAGCCCTAAGGAAGGCTGCAGACAGAGAATGAACACCTCCGAGGACAGCAGAGGGGACAGCCCCAGCCCCTACTGACAGGAAGAGCCTCTGAGGACAGGAGATAGGATGGCCCCAGCCCCTGGCCCAGGAGCCACAGGAAGAGCCCCCGTGAATAGCAGAGGGGACGACCCTGGCCCCCGGCCCAGCGGCCACAGGAACAGGAAGAACCACTCACCTCCCTGCTTACTGCTGTCAAGATAGATGGAAACCTTTCGGGCCAGACCTGCGAGGAGACAGGGGTGGGGGATGGGTGCACGGGCCAGACGGTCAGCCAGAGCAGAGTTAGCCGAAGTCACACGGGCACACCAAACTGGTTAGAATGACCGCAGAGTGGGAAGAGGCAGAAAGGAGCAGACGGAGGGCAAGCCCAGAGAAGGGCCACTCCCCCAGGCGGCCGCAGCCGGGCACATGGCGTGATGAAGACTACTGCAGCCTCAGCGTCTGTGAGCAGGGGCTCAGCAGGGGCCACAGCTCAGGGGACACACGTGACTGGCTTCCGTCAGGGCTGCCCACCGGGTTGGTATGGGGTCAGGGTGGGCCCGTGGAGGAGAGGCGGAGTCAGCTGGGGGGTCAATGGTAGAAACGCAGTTTGTCCTGGGCTGCGGTGGGGAGCAGCGGGAAGCCTCTGAGCCCTGGGATCCCAGGACCTGGGGTGGAGCCGAGTGGGGTGGCTCCTGGGGCCTGGGGTGGGCCAGGTGAGCACAGGTGAGAGGGGATTTCCCACAGGAGAGGCTGCAGGACTAGGCTCTTGCAAAGGGGGCCGGTGGGTCTTGGCTCAAGGGAGAGCCTCAACGAGGAGCCTCAGTGCGGCCAGCAGGGACTGCGTGAGGCTCCATCGGGGGCCTGGCATGGTGCTCCGAGTTCTGGGCCCAGAACCGACCCACTCTCCAGCCACTGGGGACCGCGAGGGGGACTGCCCCGGATGCGCAAGTGCGTGCGTGCGCGCGTCCTCAGGCTCTGTATGTATGTGTGCACCTGTACATCCATGCACGTGTGTGTGCCCCCAGGATCTTTGTGTGTACTTATGTATACGTACGTGTGTGCGCACGTGTCCTCAGGCTCTGTGTGCATGTACGTGCGTGTCCCCAGATGTGTGTGCACGTGTGTGCATGTTCCCAGGCTGTGTGCATGTGTGTCCCCAAATGTGCTTGCACATGTGCGTGTCCCCAGGCTCTGTGTGCATGTGTGTGGGTGTCCCCAGATGTGTGTGCATGTGTGGGTGTCCCCAGGCTCTGTGTGCGTGTGTCCCCATATGTGTGCATGTGTGTGTGTCCCCAGATGTGTGTGCATGTGTGGGTGTCCCCAGGCTCTGTGTGCGTGTGTCCCCATATGTGTGCATGTGTGTGTGTCCCCAGATGTGTGTGCATGTGTGGGTGTCCCCAGGCTGTGTGCATGTGTGTGTGTGTGCATGCACTTTGGAAGAGGGAGAAACCCTGCAGGTGTCACAGACTTCTGGGAGCGGGGTAGGTGTCCTGCCTGAGGTGGCATCTTCTCTCCCCCACAAGTGACGTGATCAGATCTTCTCATATAAGGAGCCCAGACAGCCACTGGGTGGGCAACCGGCGAGAAGTTGGGACAGGAAGCTCTGTAGGGACGAGCTGCTGTCATCCTCTGAGGTCGCACTTTCTAAAGGCTTCCTGTCCACGTCATGCCATGTTCTCTGAGCTTTGCTGAGAAAATGTCCCCTTCCCGCCTCCCCGCACACATCAGCTTTCACAGGAGATCTAGACTCCTGCCTGAATCGGCAGGTGAAGGAGATGGCGGGGCCAGGCTTGAGAAGGTTCCCTCCTCAGGGTGCACGGCCACGTGGAGCACAGATCCTTCCAGAACCTGACGGATGTCTCCTTTCTCTTCATATAGAAAGCTCTGCGCCGCCTCGGGTACTCACAGGCCCTGGGAGAGGGCCGCTGCCGCAGGCAGAGGATGGCCAGCACATGCAGGGGGATGGCAGCACAGAAGCCCGGCAGACGTGCGGGCTTCTCACCCTGGCATGGCGGGGGGTGGGGGTTTTAACTTCCATTTTATGAGATCCTGGGGACTTGATGACCGTGTGGGGAGACGGGGCCCCCAGAAGCCAGCGCCTGTGGCAGCGTGTCTATCTGGGGAGCCACTGATGCCTGGGCCTGGAGTCTGAAGTGGAGGCTGCTGAGCACCAGTGGGCTGCAGCTCAGTGCGGAGGTGCCCCCCAAGCCTGAAAGTGAGCGTGTGAGCAGGCGCAGAGCTGCGTCCAGAGTGTGGTGGTGAAGGTGGGAGAGTGGCCACACCCGGCCCTGACCCCTGTAGTCAGGCCAGCGGTGGGGCCGCGCAGCCCCCTGCCCAGAGCAAAGGCAGACAAACCAGCACACCCACTTTGCATGCGATCACACCAAACAGCAGTTAGCTTGGCCCACAATGCCTCTCTGGGGCACAGGCAGCATTAGCGTGGGTCCCCTGGGCCTGCCAGCTGCAATGCTGTTCCAAGCAAGACACAGCTTCCAGTCGAGGATGTGACCCAGGCCACTGACCACAGGGAGGGTGGGGTGTGTACCCCTGGTCTATGTGCTTGGCCGGCATCAGAGGGATGTGAGAGGCACGCGGTGCCCTGCAGGGACCTCCCCAAGAGGGACGTGGACCCGGCTCCAGCGGCCCGGGGGCGGGCTGACCTACCTCGCGTCGTCGGCAGCATGTCTGAGAGCCCCTGCCATGCGGTCACCATTTCGGGGTTCTTCTCCAAGTCAGCAAAGTTCTTCCAGACCCGGATGGCACCGTCGTCTGGGGAAGGAGAGAAGGGAGACTGTGAACCTCTGCCGGGACCTCAGGTGCGCTCCGCGTGGCGGGAGGCCGGGCCCGCGGGTGAGTGGGCTGTGACAGTGGAGGGCTGTGACGGTGGAGGGCTGTGGTGGAGGGCTGTGGTGGTGGAGGGCTGTGGTGGAGGGCTGTGGTGGAGGGCTGTGATGGTGGAGGGCTGTGGTGGAGGGCTGTGACGGTGGAGGGCTGTGATGGTGGAGGGCTGTGGTGGAGGGCTGTGACGGTGGAGGGCTGTGACGGTGGAGGGCTGTGGTGGAGGGCTGTGACGGTGGAGGGCTGTGGTGGAGGGCTGTGACGGTGGAGGGCTGTGGTGGAGGGCTGTGGTGGAGGGCTGTGGTGGAGGGCTGTGACGGTGGAGGGCTGTGGTGGTGGAGGGCTACATGGAGATCAGTGATCCTGACACCTGTGTCTTTCCTTGCCCTTTGACTCCCACCTGTGTGTCTGGGGTTGGCACCAACAGGGGCGAGGGGCTCCCTCCTCTCCTCCCTGTGGCCCCTTCAGGGAGGCCCCCTAGCCGTGCAAACCCACTCACCAGTGGCCGTCAGCAGGAGTGAGCAGTCCTGGCCGTTCAGGTACTCCATGGCGGTGACCCTGGTGTACCGAGGGTTCCCATTGTGGAAATAATCCAGCTTCTCCCCTTTCTCCCAGTCCCAGAAACTTAAGGGAAGAAGAAATCGAGGTGAGGAATACCCCAGCTCACAGGCAATGAGAAGAACCCTCCCCGTGCCGTTTCTCAGTCACGAGTGACATGTGTTACCGATTAAACTTGGTTTTTCCCCTTGGGGCCTTGGTGTCTTGTCATCAATAGTCCCCCCCCCACACCTGCGTCTGCAGAGGAGGGGCAAGGGAGGCCCTAGTGCAGGTCCCTCTGTACACGTTCTGTCTCGTGGAGACTGTGGTGTGTGCTGTCCCTTTGCATCTATGCAGGACGACTCTCATCTCAGGAACGTGACACTCCCATCCCTGCCCTGAGCCCCGTCCTGACTCTGACACCCCCCAGGAACATGGTAACAGTGGAGACCCCTGGGGCCCAGCAACGCCAGGAGAGCATGGGCAGGGATGTTTCTTGGCATGTTCCCAAGACCTTTCTATGTGAAACAATACAAAGGGCTGAAGGACCCTCCACCGGATAAAGGCACGGGAGGAACGGACTCTCGGGGGTTGGCCGGTAACGAGAAAACGAAGCCCCGACAAGCACAGGCGTACCAGATGCTGTCTTTGTCAGCCACGGCGACGCATGGTGTGAATGGGTGGAACTTGACCACGGAGGGAACGCCTGGGTTCCTGTTGAGGAATATCTGGTCGTCCAGTCGAGTGATGCCTGCCAAGAGACACGTAAGGAGGAACGCAGCCAGCAGCCAGGCACGGCTTACAGTCAGCATTCACGGCACACTCGTGGCCGAGGGCTGGGGAGGCTCCATGGGAACAGAGAGGAGCTGGAGGGGGGCCCATCGCCCTCCGGAGGCCACAGCTCCCCGACCATGGGGCCTGTGCCTTTGCTTGGATCCCTATCCCCAGCTCCCGGCTCAAAGCTGGACTCACAGCAAGTATTCAGTCAACTGGTCCCGAATAGCCTACACGCTATAACCTACACATTGTGACCTATATATTATAACTTGTTCATTATAACATAAGCTGCACACTGTAACTCATACATTGTAACCTATACATTATAATCCATACGTTAAGACTTACACATTAGCAATACATAAAACCAAACCCATTGCCATCAAGTCAATTCCAACTCATCGCAACCCTGTAAGACAGAGCAGAACTGCCCCATAGGGTTTCCAAGGCTGTAAATCTTTACGGAAGCAGACTGCCACATCTTTCTCCCGTGTAGCAATATATATACAGATTAGTACAAATCTATCTGGTTAGAGCGTCACTATGAGTCGGAAATGACTCGATGGCAACGGGTTTATCTGGTCAGAATTATAGAAACAAGTGCTAGAGCTTTCAGAAAAAAGGCTTGGTGAGGCTCTGTTGTAACTCTGACCCGGGGTTACACATGGGTGTAGCCCTCGCCACCCGCCCCACAAGAAGCCCGAGTGCTGGCAGGTCCCTTCAGTCTAGAAAGATGATAATAAGGATGTCCTATGATTGGAGGATGTCAAGTCACAAGTTAAACAGAAGGGTGAACATGGATTTATTCGCCAGTTCCCTAAATTCTAGAATTAGGACATAAATCTTTCACGGCTCTGAAAGAGTTGGTGTTACAAAGAACACTAGAAAGGCTATAATGCACAGATTTGGGGTGGATTTAGTGATATTTTGATTAATAAGACTAGGTTTATTCAGAGTGGCTGGGGAAGCATGGGTGAACGTCAGATCTTCTGTTGCAGTGGAGGGAAGAGGGGACACCGAGCCTTCCTGGCACTCTTGGCCTCAGACGACTGGAGGGACGCTGGGTAACCCGCTGGGCTCCTGGGGTTCACAAACTGTCGCTTTGCTGGGCACAGTGCTTGGGCGGGGGTGGTACAGAGACCAGCCTCCCTTGGGGTCTCTGTGCACCTCCTCAGGCCGGAAGCACCTTCCGTGAGGTGGAACAGTAGGCTCGGTGTTCTAGCACCTTCGTGTGACAGGGCAGAGGGCTCGATGTTCTAGCACCTTCCGTGAGGTGGAACAGTAGGCTCGGTGTTCTAGCACCTTCGTGTGACAGGGCAGAGGGCTCGATGTTCTAGCACCTTCCGTGAGGTGAGGCAGTGCGCTTGATGTTCTAGCACCTTCCGTGTGACGGTGGTGGGCTTGGCACTCCAGTACCACAAGGTGCACCTTCCACACAGGGGGGTAGTGGGCTTGGCATTCTGGTACCTTCCATGTGACAGGGCGGGAGACTCGGCGTTCTGACACCTCTCATGTGACAGGGTGGTGGGCTCAGCATTCCAGCAGGAAGCCCGCCTGCTCTGGGCAGAAGGCCACAGATACAAGCAGCTTGGTGACCGGGCTACAATCCCTGAGCAGGCTCCACCACAGCAAGGGCCACTCGCTCTGCGTCACCCGCTGCCTGTTCAGGTGGCCGCGATGTGGGGTCCTTCTTGCACCTGGAGTGTGGTAATGTTTCAGTCCTCCAGCCCACTCTCTGTCAAGCTAAAAACCCCTTTGGGACAAGGAGAAGGGCTAAGGGCCGTCTTTGTCCTTCGTCATAGTTTTTTAGGGGAGCCCAAAGAATAGGCATGATTTCCATCACTGAGAGACTACGAGGACCCCAGGTTCTTAAGCCAGCTCGTCAACTTCCTGTCTGTGCAAATACAGCCCGTGACTCCAAGGCATGGGGTGACAAGACGCCGAGGGGGATGGCTCCACGGATAGGGGTCACTTCTTCCCTCCTTCCTACCTTGTGTATCTTGCCCAGCACACAGTTGACGCGCAAACGAAAATGAAAACGTGCCCTGAATCCAAACCCCAATGTGGTTCCACGAACATTCAGGTGCTCTGGGGCACCTCTGAGGCGCTCTGAGGAGGAGTCCAGCGCCTGCGGGCCCAGGGCCCACGTGGATGCTGGCTCAGCAGCTCCCCCCAGCGGGTTCTGGACACACAGATCCACCTCTGTTTTTGTACGAACACTGGAAAAGAGAGCCGAATCTGGTTACACAAGATGCCTGTTCTGTCCAGAACTCGTTCCGTCTCACCAACGTGCTGTTCTCCCCTCGCTGCCCACTCAGCTGTGGCCTTCACGTTGGGTGCCACCCTCGACCGCCATGTCTGCCTCAGGGGCATGTAACCTGATCCCTCCCAGCTCGCCAGCCTGTGGGCCTCGGGATCCTGCAGAATCTCAAACCCCCGAGGAAATGAGGAAATCGCCTCTGCACTGTGACTCAGTGTGCTCTCCCACGCAGGCCGCCTGTCCTCTCCCCGAGGAGCGGAGGCGCAGGCTTGGCCAGCCCCACACACTCAGCGGGGACAGCGGGGAAGCAGATGTGGAATTCCAGAACAGCAGAGCGCTCGAGTCCCTCCTGCCGCCGCTCCCTCGCGGAGGTGCGGACAGTCATAAGCAACGAAGACCAGTTTACAGCGGAACGGTGACCGGTGACCGTGCTAACAACCGTCACCCCGGGTGTCTCAGGGAAGCGCCGTGAATGCAGGCAGGCTGCCGTGACAGTGCTCCCAAAACGTCTCCATGTCCAGCAGTGAACCTCACGTGGGGGGCTCAGCGGGTCCCCGAGTGGGGGACCAACGGCACCAGCAGAGGGGGGAGTCAACGGGGCTCCCTAGAGGGCCTGCCAGGGGGGCTGGAGTGGACGCAGGTGAGATTGCAGGGGTGACAGTCAGTGGCCTGTGTCCTCCCACCCAACATAAAAGTAACACATGACGTCGGTCAGAATTCTACGTCACAAGGAAGCAAGGCTGGAATCGTGTGTCAGCACAACGGGCTCAGAGCCCGGCGATGGGTTTTGTGCTGGGGGCTTGGGCGGATTCAGACCCATGAACCAAAACTGGCTCAGTGACCTGGAGTGCTTCAGGCACTCGGAGATTGCGTCGGCGCCACTGGTCCATCTGTCTGGAACCAGGTCGCTGGGCCAGTTCCCAAGAGGGGGCTTTGCTGCGGGTCCACGTTCTCACAGGATGGAGAGAGTGCCCCATTCTGGTGCCCTGGGGGTGAGGGGCCCACGTGCTCATCCCGGTCCTGGACGCACAGCAGAGGCCCCGGGCCGCGCCCTCACCCCATGCCACCCCCATGCCCGCAGGACGATGGCAGCTACGATCTGCCTGCGCCCCGTCCTGTCTGCGGCCAGCCTGTCGGCAGGGAGCCTCGTGCTGTTCTCCCTGCAAGACACACTGTGCCCTCGGACGCTCATCACACTGTCAGCCTGGGTGAGGCTGTGAGGGAGACAAGATGCCACTCTGCAGAACAAGGCTGGCGTCCATTAGGACATCTGCTAGGAGGCCAGGTGAGGGTGTGGAACAAATATGAGCACCCTGCGCCGGGGGGTGGAGTGGACACCATGTCGGAGTGGCAGAGCTTGGCCTGTCAGCTGGGCCCTGCGTCCTGGCCCCTCGTTGGGCCCCGCATCCTGGCCCACCCACCTGGCCCTGCGTCCCAGCCCGCGGGCTGGGCCCTGCATCTTGCCTCTGCTCTCCCTGTAGGTGTGGCAGGGCAGGTGGCACTAATGTCACAGGGCCGCTGAGGGACCTCCCTGCCAGGCTGGGAGATGGGCCTCCTGGGCTGGGGTGCACTTGCTCCCCATTTGGGGAGGGAAAAACACAAGAGTCCCTGGTGGACAGGGGGTCATCTGTGAGGTGACCCCAGAGGCCTCGGGGCCCCCCTCTGGGGAGTGACGGCAGAGTGCTGGTGCCCCCAGCCCCTCCCACTAGATCAGGCCTTCCCTGAGGCTGAGGGGTCGAGGCGGGCAGGAGGGAGGACCCCTGGCTCTCAGCCCCTGGGTCCGCTCCCCTCCCAGCTCCCCGCCTCGGGCTGCAGGCCTGGAGGAATGCCTTCCTCTCCACTGGCCTCAGTTCCCTGTGTGCAAAGGGGAGAGGGGCTTTCACGCGGCAGGCCGTGGGGTGGGCTCAGGGAGGCCCCGTCTGAGAGCCGTGTGTGCAGCCTGGCTCACGAGGACCTTCCGAGGACCCCCGAGGCTGAACAGGAGTGTGGGCAGTTCCGGCATGAACAGGCCATGTGGATGGACTGAGTGGACGGGGTCTGAGTGGACAGCGTTTGAATGGACTGTGTCTGAGTAGACGGGGTCTGAGTGGACGGGGTCTGGGTGGCCGGGGTCTGGGTGGACGGGGTCTGGGTGGACGGGATCTGGGTGGACGGCGCCTGAGTGGACTGGGTCTGAGTGGACGGCATCTGAGTGGACGGGGTCTGAGTGGACAGTGTCTAAGTGGACTGGGTCTGAGTGGACGGGGTCTGAGTGGATGGTGTCTGAGTGGACAGGGTCTGAGTGGACAGAGTGTATGGACGGGGTCTGAGTGGACAGTGTCTAAGTGGACTGGGTCTGAGTGGACGGGATCTGGGTGGACGGTGTCTGAGTGGACTGGGTCTGAGTGGACGGCGTCTGAGTGGACGATGTCTGAGTGGGCAGACTGTATGGACTGGGTCTGAGTGGACACAGTCCAAGTGGACAGACTGGTGGACATGGTCCAAGTGGACAGATGGCGTGGACGGGGTCCGAGTGGACGAGGTCTGAGTGGATGGGGTCCGAGTGGGTGGGGTCCAAGCGGACGGGGTCTGAGTGGACAGACTGCGTGGCCGGGGGCCGAGTGGACGGGGGCCAAGTGGACGGGGACCGAGGCCCAGCTGCGTGGCACTTACCCCTCTGGACCACCTGCTGTGCCTGTCTCCGCACGCGGGTGTTACGCAGGAACCGCCATTCACGCTCCTTACGGGTCTGACTCTCCAGGTCGTGCTCTTCCGGGATCTTCAACAACAAAAGCGTCAAGTTAAGTCTAGCGTTCGAAACAGTGATTTCCCTAGACAGAGGCTCCTTAGCCCAGACATGGACGCACCAGGGTCTCTGGCTGGCCGGGTGCCAAGGTCCCCGATGGGTACAGGATGGGGCTCCCGGGCCCGGTCACACTGCAGGTTGCGGCCATCCCGGCCCCCGGGGAGCCTGCCCTGAGTCCACGGCCCTCCCCAGCTCAGGCTGTCCATGTCCACGCTCTCTGGGGAACAGCCGGTACCTGCCCCTGCCAGCCCGCGGGTCTGTCGGTGCTCAGAAATCTCGGTAGGGTGGGGGCCGCCTCACCTCTGAGTGAGGCCACAGTGGGAGGTGAGGGGGTGGAGACTCCCTGCTTTCTGTTATATTTGATAACAAAACAGAAACAAACCAGCCCCCAGCCTCACTCTGACGTCCACTGTTATGGATTGAATTGTGTCCCCAAAAAATTATGTGGCAGTCCTAATCCCTCTACCTGTAAATATGACCTTGTGTAGAAACAGTGTTTTTCTCTTGTGATGTTAATGCGGATACACCAGGGTAGGGTGGGTGCTAACCTAACCCCCGAGAGGTGCCTGATGAGAGACCAGAACGGACAGACACGCAGGGGAAGACAGAGGCCAAGGCGCACCAGCGAAGGGCCTTCCTCTAGAGCCAGCCGCCAGCACTGTGAAGCGGCACACTTCTGCTCTGTAAGGTCCCCACCGGAGCACTTCTGTCATGGCTGCCCCGAGGACAGAGGCGCCCGCTCTCAGAGACGGCCCGTAGGTTCCTTACTAGCATGTCACCGCTATGCTCTGTTCTCTTCCTTCTTAAAAATCATAAAAACCAACCACATTCAGCAAAAGAGCAACAAAAACCAAAAAGGACATCCAAGCCCGGAAACAACCAGTGTCAAATGGCTCCAGCGGAGCTGTTGGTGTGGTAACAAGCCCACAGTGGCAGATGGGAGACACTTGGATTCGTTCTATGACTGCAGAGTTTATAAGAAAGAGGGACCAATGGCCGTGACAGACAGCAGTAGTAAGGCGGGCGTTGAGACCCTGCACTTTAATGAAGCCTGGTCTCTCAGGGAGAAACCAAAGAACAAGGGCCTGCTGCAGCCAGAGGGGAGAGGGCCCAGCGGCTCGACGTCATTGATGAGCTTTCTCTGCACAGGCCGAGCTGCACACAGCTCCGCAGGAGTCCCAGAGGCTGTGGGCAGACCCGGCCCCTGCTCAGCTCCAGAGAAAACAGAGGGAGGGAGCGTTGTGGAAGGTGCAGGGCACACTGCCAGCCCAAGTGATCTGAGAGACAGACTGCCATCTTGCACCAACCCAGACAGCATGAGGGGACCATCTCCCAGTCCAGGAACTTGGCCTCATGGCCAAGGGGGAGGAATTTAGTCACAATTTCCCTTGTGCAGCTGGTTCTAAGAAATCGAGAGTGATGCCCTGGGGTGTATGTGTGCCCTGTCCACCTGGGGGCTGCCCTGTCCACCTGGGGGCCGCCTTCGCCTCCTGGGGGCTGCCTTTTCCTGGGGGCTGCACGCAGGCTGGGCTGAGCACAGAGGACTGTCAGAGATGGAACTGTAATGCGGCTGTGGAAGCAGCAGCCCTCCCTTGGGACAATCAGGATGGTGGCAGACGTGGCTGTGGGTGGGCGAGAGGCAGGAGCTGGAGGAGACATGGCCCGTCCTCAGTGCTTGGGGACGCTGATGAGGACAGCTCCCTGGAATTACTGCGCTGGCAATTTCCTGGGTAGCACAGCTCTTCATCATTCCTTCCGCTCTCTCCTCCTCCCCACCCATCGCTCTGCAGGCAGGATAAAGGCTTTGTAGTCAACAAAGGCTCCCGGAGGAGGAGGGTGTGGGCACGGCGTGACATGATGAGGCTCATGACCCGGCTCCGCTCAGGCAGAAACCAATTACGATCCGGAAGCCTCCCACGGAGAGCTGACGGCCCTCAATCCTCCATGAGCAGAGAAACTGGGGAACAAAGCCGAGCAGAGGGGCCTCGCGAACGCCCCGGGGCAGTGATCTGGGCACATTCTCACGGAGGAAAGCCTTCTGTGTGAGTCACAGTCTGTCTGTTCCCACACCTCTCAATGAAAAAGGCTCCAGGTACAGGGGATAAATCAGGACACAGGTCCACGGCCGGCAAGGCTGCAAAGCCCTGGACAACGTGAGAGGAGACGGGTCTTGGGGCAGGCTCATGAACGTCAATGCTAAATCGTTAAACCTCGAGGTCCCTCAGTCTCTCCCGCCACACAAAGCAGCTTCCGATCACGGGAAGTGAGAACTAACTTGACTCTGCACTGGTTTTTCTCCCTGACGTGCCTGAATTGTTTCCAGCATTTAACAACCAACGATCAAAACCACAAAAAATCCCACATAAACACTAACGTCATCTCTGCCGGAACAGCTGATGCCACCATCCCCCAGGTGTCAGAGCACACAGAATCCTTCGTGCGTGTTCGACAGGCAGCGTAGGTGTTGACACTGATTCAACTAATGCCACATGCACATTGTAAAACCAGTTGCTGTTGAGTTGACTCCGACTCACGGCGACCTGATGGGTGTCAGAGTAGAACTGCGCTCCATAGGGTTTTCAATGGCTGAGTTTTCGAAAGTACACTGCAAGGCCTTTCTTCTGAGGTGCCTCTGAGTGGACCTGAACCTCTAGCATTTTGGTTAGTGGCTGAGCACTTAACGGTAGTGCCATTAAGCATATTACATCAAAGGGTTTACAACCCTTTGCCAAATTCCTCATGAATACACACTTGGACGTGGAGACCTGAGGTCACTGCACGCACTCACACCCAATATGGCGGGCCACCCTTTGGCTACATGGTTTCCTAGGCATGACTTCAACACTAGGGGAAAAGAGAGTTTTAATTTTTACCCGAAAGTCAGGTTAATTGAGGTATAATTTACATACAGCATATTTGCCCTTTTCAGGCACAGTTCTGAGTTTCGACAAATGTAGAGTCTTGTAACCATCATAATCAAGATAGTAGTTCCTTCACCCTCCCCTACCCCGCCAAAATTTTATATGCCCCTCTGTGGTCAAAACACTCCCCTCCGCCCCAGCCCATCAACTAGTGATCTGTTTTCTGTTCTTCTAGCTGTGCCTCTGCCAGAACATTGTATAAACAGCTCATACAACAGTAGGTAGCCTTGGGGGTCTGGCTTCTTCCATTTAGCGTAATATGTTTCTGATTCATCCGTGTTGTTGTGTCTGTCATTAGCTTATTTTTTTGCTGAGTATGGTTCCATTGTTTGGCTATGTCACAGTTTTTATCTAGTCCCTAGGTGAAGGATATTTGGGTTTCCAGTTTTTGGTGATCATGAATAAAGTGCTATAAATCTTTGCATAGAGGTTTTTGAGTGAACGTAAGCTTTCATTTCTCTTGGGTTATCTAGGACTGCTGGGTAGAATGGTAAGTGTATGTTAACTTTATAAGAAGCACTCAAGTTTTCCCAAAGTGTCAGTAATATTTTGCACTTGCACCAGTGATGTATGAGGGTTTGAATTGCTCCACAACCTTTGTCAGCACTTGGTACGGACAGGTTTTGAAATTTCAGCCATTCTTAACTGCTCATGTGGAACCTGTACATAGACCAACAGGCAGTTGTTTGAACAGAACAAAGGGATACTGCACGGTTTAAAATCAGGAAAGGTGTGTGTCAGGGTTGTACCCCTTCACCATACTTAATCTGTACGCAGAGCAAATAATCCGAGAAGCTGGACTATATGAAGAAGAACAGGGCATGAGGATTGGAGGAAGACTCATTAACAACCTGCAATATGCAGATGACACAACCTTGCTTGCTGAAGGTGAAGAGGACTTGAAGTACTTACTGATGAAGATCAAAGACTACAGCCTTCAGTATGGATTACACATCAACATAAAGAAAACAAAAATATTCACAACTGGACCAATAAGCAACATCGTAATAAACAGAGAAAAGATTTGAAGTTGTCAAAGATTTCACATTACTTGGATCCACAATCAACACTCATCATGGAAGCAGCAGTCAAGAAATCAAAATCGAGGAGGCAGGGCCAAAATGGCGGAGTAGTGAGACGCTTCTGGTGGTCCCTCTTATGCGGTGAGGCAAGCAATGGCGTTTGGGACTCGTTTTCCATGTCGAGAGAGATCGAGTGGCGGAGGGTCTGCTAAGGCCTCCAGAGCCAGTGAAAAATGGTACTCAGTTGGCAAAAGATAAGTACATGTGTTTAACCTACTGTGTGGATTAAAAAACACCCTGTTTGGGAAGAACCTCTTTCCCATTTACCCACTCCCTCCCTACTCTGCAGCAGGTTCCAGGCCAGCTTTAGTGATTGCCGAGTCCCCTGGGCCGGATGTAGGACCCGTCATGTGCCCTGAACCATTCTCCTGGCCTTGAAGAGGGAACAAACTAACAAACAGGAAAAAGTAATATGCCAGCTCCCCTATGCCGGGAACTCAGGGCAGGCACAGCTCCTTTGCCTAGGCACAGGCATAAGAGGTCCACGGACTTTGAATGTCTTTCACCCCTGTACAGACCTGTGCGGGCTCATTTCAACAGCATAGGCCTTCACTAGCACAGTACAACAGGGTATATACCTGAAGCCCAATTTCACTGTATCAGCTATATGATGGACTGGCGGGTTTGTGACATTTGATGCTGCTCTGCCTATTAAGCAGGGTCCTCATTTACCCACATAAGGGGACTGAGGACTGGCAGCTCCACCCACACCACCTTGCCACCTATGACAGGGGTCCAAGAATAAGTGGTATCTCCCAGTCCTTACAGCCAACAGCATTCGGTACCCACAGTCTGGCTGCAAAACCCACTCACCTACGTACTCTAGGGAACAGGGACACGCTTTCCTCCAAGACACTCAAGGGCAGCTGTCAGCCATCTGCCTTGCTCAGTGCATGACGCCCTACTGTAGCCAGATACCTGTGCCTACTCCAAGCACCCCTGCCCATCTAGGACTGTAGGCGAGAGCCTG